AATTCCACCTGGGCTGAGGGGTCCAATGTAGAGGCTTGTGGGATGCCATGAGGGACAGGCATAGGAAACAAGTTTCACAGGACTCCTCAGCCACAGTAATCTCCTAAGAGATTACTATTGTTAGATCCTGTGGTATAAGCTTGTAAGCCTAGTTAATGTGGAAGCTGAGAAAGGAGGATTGGGAGTTCAAAGCCACCTTGAGCTACAGAGTAAGTTCAAGGCAAAAGAGACAAGGGAGATGGGCAGAGCTATAGCTTGGTAGTAATGCACCTGCCTGGTATGGGCAAAGAACTGGGTTCAAATACAGGAACATGTAAGGCACTTCTCCTATATCAGGTGACCATGAGGCTGTCCCTTCTAGGTAAGAAGGTCCCTGTTTCCTTATAGGGCCTCGTGGACCAGCGCACAGCAATTTGTTTAAAAGGGAGTGGTTCTTTCCAACTAGTCTGCAAGCCCCCTTGAGACTAGAGACCATAACTGAGCATGGCGCCTGATACTTGTTACCACGGCTAAACGTTCTTGAAATGAACAAGCAGAATCTACTCAAAAAGGAACTGAGAACCACAGTAACTACATATTGATAATAAATACAACATTGCTGAGTCTGTCTAACCAGGGGCACACACAGGGCCACACGAAGTCATGCCTGATGTCCGTTTTATTCCACTGAGAGACAACGTGAGGTCGTTTGAAAGGCTCCATCTCTGAGAATGAATATCTAATGAATGACCAAGAGAACTGCATTTACAAGACTATTTCTAGAGCAGTTTATAGGAGAGTGAATGGTTTCAATGCCAAGATGAACCATGTGGGGGGGATGATGCACAGAGTGGGACTGGAAGGGGCCAGACTGCCGAGGTAGGTAAGAGACGAGGCCACTTGCTTCCGTCTCCCCCACATTCAGAGATTCATGCTTTGATTGTGCCAGGGAAGGAGGCTGTCAGGGTAAGAAACATTACTTGATGACTTAAAGTGATATCCTCAATGATTCAAGTGGGAAGTTCACAGCGCTTGGCCATTCAGCATGTACATGGTGACTGAAGAAGGTACTTCGGTAAGAATGCTTTATCCTCAGCACGCTGTGCCCCTAGTCACCACTGAAGAGAACGGAGCCACTCTGGGATCCAGACCATAAAATATCCAGAACCGTCTTCTGCCATCCAGTGTTTACCATGATATGAAAATCGCAAACTCTTTGCCCTTAGATTAGTTTTGTAAAGGTGTGTTTACAATGTCTGGGAAGGAGGCATGGCAGGGAAACAGAACAGGAAGTCTGGAGTAAGGTCTCTGAACTGAAATGTAGTTGTATGTCTTGACCTGATTGGACGTCAGCAAGTTCACATCGCCAACCCTGGCGGCCATCATGGCCCCCCTCACTGGACTTCTATGAGTGCCACCTGAGATGCTACACCCAGAGCCTAGACCAGAGGGCTCAAGCTAGGCTTCTCACTGAATGACCATCTATTTCCAGGGAGGGAGAGAAAACATAAAATGTGGCACTCAAGGAATTTACACCACCTGCCACTCATACTGAAGCTGCCCTTATAAAAGATCCACAGAGATGTGAAGTGGGGTAAGATAAAATATCTGGAAGTGTTATGATTCATTGTGCTATGAGACAGAGGTGCTGAGTGTGTGCGTGTGCACACACAGAAAAGGCCCGTTATAGACAGAGGCAGCAAGAGATGGCTTCCTGGAAGAGGAAGAGTTTGTCAGAACTTTGACCGTGGGTGAGAAGAGAGAAGTGGACAGGGCAGATGAACCCAGGATATATGCAAAAGAAGTATCTATTGGGGCCCATTCTGGTAATGTGCACTTGCACACTCTGGTTTGGCTGAAAAACCTTTGCATAATAGAATGGCTAAACGTAAGGCTTTTGGTGAGTAACCAAGGGTCCTGGCTGATGAGCTGCAGAGCTGATCCTATTCTTACAGACAATGGCAGTTCCTTCAAATTTCTGAGAAAGGAAAAGCACAGTCAAATAATGTTATCTAGAAAGCCCCACATCTCTGCCATTTACTCCAGTGGTAGAAGCCATGCCACAGTGGGAGAAAAGTCCCTTTCATTGTACTAATAATTAGTAAATTCCCGAAGACCAAGGAAGACATTTTGTGAATCAAAAGCGAAGTACAATATGTGAGCAATTAAATGAGATAACACAATAGCTGAGGCAGAAACAGTTTTCTCCCACCACAGATTCGGGTTGCTGGGGGAAAGAGAGGCTGACATCATCTTCCATGTTATCAAGGCATTTTGTTTGGATTTCCAGGAGGCCGGGGGAGGAAGAAAGAAGAGCGTGGAGGTCGTGATCATCTGAAGTCATCTATTCTTTAATCAGGAGGAGTCAGGAGGCAGAGTTAGAACAGAGGCTTGCTCAAAACAAAACCAGCCTTAGGATGAGTCTCGGGTTTCTGCACCTCACTTCCATTCCAGAACAACAAAGGAAGGTGTGTAGCTGGAAGGCAGCGCCGCTCCAGCCCTTTCTGCCCTGTTTCCGGTACATACCTCCCACTGCTACTTTACTTCCTGCAGCTGGCCAAGGTTTGAAGCCTGTTTCATGTATTAAAATTCATGTGGAAAACATTACCAGTATCCTCCTTGAATTTTCTGTTGTTGTTGTTGAGGGAAAGGGGGATTTTTTTTCCTTCTTCCCCTTCTTGTTTTTATTGTGGAATGTATCAAACGGTCAAAGGCTAACTTCAGACTGACTAAATTCAAAAACTATTTCCTTTGTTCTTACGGTTTTTTTGTTTGAAAATTCATATGGGTTTGTGTTCAGAAAAGATATGCCAATCCAATCACTTTCACACACATGAGGCTTTGGGGATGAGGAGTTCAGATTTTTAGGGGCTACATGGTTTCTAGGAAGCAAGGAGGGTGACCAGACCCCTACTGGGTTCAAAGGGCATGGGCTGTTGACATTCACCTCTCTGGGGCTAGGCACATCTCTGGAGGAAGGCCAAGATCTGGCTGGCTCCACAGTTCCTAGTAGGAACTGTGAGGGGGAACTTGTCTTTTTCAGTAAAACAGGCAACTTGATTTCTTTTACAGAGTACCACAGCAACCATAGGCAAGAGGTGTCTGTATATAACTGGCCAATTATTTTCCATTGGGGTCAGTCCAACTTCCCCTCTCCAAAAATAATTCTAGTGTGCTTTTTGTTGTTGTTGTTTTTATTTCTCCACGTGTCCCGTCTCAGAATCAGACTCAAAGGAGAGGAAACTCAAAGGTCAAATAATTTCGCATAGCATCTATGTACAGTTTAAGATGGTAAAGAACCACTCAGCCTCCATATGGTATTTAAGAACAAACTCCATATTTATGGAAAAGACAGTCTCTACATCAATGTCCTGGGTGCACGCCGCATCCGGCTAACATATGCAAAGTGAACGCAGCTCCAGAAATTAGACTATTTTTCTCTTGATTGAGAGCAGATATACATAGATGGTTATAAGTTGCAGATCTGGATTTTAATAAAGCCAGATTTCTTAATTAAAAGCAGTGTTGTTTAAACACTGTAGTGGAAAAAAAAGCAGAGAAGGGGAGAGAACTGTACAAATGAAAATCTCATATTATATGCATCCCAAGTGTTTAACACATTACCTAAGGCCAGGCTAAATTAAAATCTAGACTTTCCTTTGTAAACTCTTTAGCAACTGCCAATGAACACACAAACAATTTTTACTCAATGATGGATTTTTAGGGTAGAGGTCAAGATAAAGAAAAAAAGTAAGAAAAAATTAGCATTGGCATTCAAATATCTCTTTGCACATTTTAGAAGTGAGTTCATTGCTTCTATTTATAAGCCCATATTTTTGGTTTCTAATCAGTTGCAGGTTTCAGTCTTATACTGTGCAGGATGGCACTCTTCATCTTAGTCTTTTAATTAAGAGAAATTGAAGACGACCAAAACCTACTGTTGAAAAAGAGCTGCACATGGATTCATAGCTTTTTTGCATTTCCTTTTGGAAGCATCTCCAAATGAGAGAAGCTGTAGTGCGGATGGAAAAATGGCCTTGCACCCAAGCAACTCAGAAAACCCTAGAAAGGTCAAGCAGGGCAATAAGACGTCTACCACCCCATATGGGCAAGGAGCAGAATTATGCAAAATCAATAATAAAGTAAAATTTATCTGCGTTACCAGCTAATAGTTATCACTTAATATTTTTGTTATAGACAGTCTCTGACCCACACAAAAGGCAAAGACACAACTTATTTCTACCTCTCAACTCTGAGACTAAAAGGCACCATTTTGGTTTCATGAAGCAAATCAAACTAAACCACCCTCATATTTGGAATATCACGAATGTAACGTGAAGTTGAGTTATGTGCTGACCAAAGTTATCAAGATGAGTAACTGAAAATATGAGCAGTGATCCAGCAACTTACTAATACTTATGTGGAATGAAAGCATGCGCCCATATAAAATCTTGTGCATGAATACTCACAGAAGTTGGTGGGTTTTGTTTTTGTTTTTTGTTTTTGCAACTTCCAGAGAGCAAAACAGCCCTAGGACTGGTCACCCATTAAGTAAGAAATATAATGGCAATAAAAACAAATAAAGCTTTAGTATGTGGGAAAACACAGATAAACCTTAAAAAGATAAAATGAAAGAAGCTAACCAATAAAGGCCAATCCATAGTATAATCCCAGTTAAATGTTAGAATGCTCAGAACCTATAGCAACAGGAAGTAGATTAGTGATTGCCAGGAGTTGAGGGGGTGTGAGGAGGGTGGGGAATGACTGCTTGATTGTTCTGTGCCTTTTTCTCTTTCTTTTTACAAGAGGCAAAAACATTCCAGAATTTGACGGTGGTGGTGATTGCACCACACTAAGAAGACCCTAAAAGCACACTGATCTGTACACTATCAATATGTGAATCATCCACACAGTGAGCTCTCTCTCCATACAGCTTTTCTGCAAAACAAACAGGAGCAGTAGTATTTACACTGGAAGTTCTAATTCTACCTAAGCAGAGCTCATATATCATCATCACTTACCATGAGTGAATGTCTGTTGGCTGAAAGAAGGCCAGTTCCATACCCTGAGCCCAGGCCACCCATTGCTCCATTATGAGAAGGTCCGATGATCCCATGCATGTCCCCGTGGCCACCAGGCACAGCTGTGGACGGCCCCACTGCATGATTCCGAAGAACATGAATTGCATCATCCAGTCTCTCTAAGCGGTCTTCAATCCGGCTTTGCTGTTGGTTTATAAATGCAGTGAAATCTGCTTTAGTTTGAAATGCACGCACAGGTTACACAAGCAGAATACTGAGTTGCTACAGAGCACACTTTGGGTTTCGGAATATATGTTTCCAATAAAGTTTGTTTCCTTAGAACAATAATAAAAATAAATAATGTCCTTCCTAGAAAACTGGTGGAAAATGTTAATGCCAAAATTACAGTGTTATTTTTCATGAACAAAGTAAATTCAATAATTCTTTGAGGACATTATTATGTACATATGCTATACTGGACTACATTAGCTTGAAAGAGAATTTAGATTTATGTTAGAGAGGAAAACATGCATTGAATTTGAGGAAGTCTTTGGTAAGCACAGCTAAAAAGCTACAATCTGAGTAGTGGAAAGACGATCTTCTTTTGGTTTTGGAATAACATTTTCTTCAAGTCGGAGACAGGTGAAAGTTTCACGAACTTTTTACCCTCTCCCCCGCCCCCCACGTATTTTTTATCTGTTAGCAATATCAATTTGCATGTCCGTAGGAGGGTGGCTCAGAAATTATTATAGCAAAAATAATCTATAAAATTCTGTCACCCAAAGTGATATAAAACCCTAAGACTAAAGAACAACAAAGATTTAGCTTGATCACCTACCCAGGACCTACAGCTGATTTCAAAGTCTGTACTGCAGCAGAGAATTCATTACCTTATGCAATTAAAAGCCAATAATTCTTTTTCCATTCTAGCCATTAGGATCCTAGTTTTCTTCAACCAGATAAGGCCTATGCTATAGCTATCAGTGAAGAAAAAGAACACAGCTACATCTTCCTTTTTACTGTGACAAATAATCACAGTATTACTTGCCAGTGTACACATTAAAATGCACCATGTTATCAACCCACATTCCATGTGTATTCATAGATAGGATCGGGGTGCTCCTTCCATATAGACATGAAAATGTAGCTCAAAAATTAAGTGAATTAATTACTGTCTAACTGCCAAGAAATAGTAGTCAGGGTTGGATCTATGTGCTTGTTCCTTTTTAAAAAAAAAACCTTAAATCTAGTGCTGTTTTGTACTAGAACAGGCTATAGTCTACTTTGGTTTTGAAATGCTGTACAAACAGATGTGCCAGCTCTATTGCATGGAAAAGCAATTTCTAATTATTCTATACCAACAGGAAGAATGTGTGTCTAATAGAGTTAGTGTATGGCACAGAAGATTTTGATTTGGTAGGCTTGGGGGTTATATGACCTCCCTAGGCTGCTGGCTGTGCTACTTATTTGACCCAGAGAGTGTCACCAACCTTCTTGGAGTCTCCAGTTCTTAATCTACAAAAGCAAGGATGATAGTAGATATTTGGGTCAATGTAAGCATGAAAAGAAATGATACGGGTGCCTGGCATACTTCCTGGCTTACAGTCTCCTGGTGGAGAGGGAGATCTCTATTTCTGAACCCCTGTGAGTGTTCAGAATGTACAAGGAATCAAAGCTGTGGTCCACAGCTCTGTTCCAAGTCCTCCAGTTCTACATCGGAATAAAGGCTGGTTTTGATGGCTGGGCTATGGAGAACAGTCTGCAGAGGTTCGGTACTTAAAACAACTGAGCTATCTAGACGTAGTCTGTAGATGAAAGAGCTGGGCCATGGGTATGTTTCCTCTCCATGCAGTTGTCTTTATTGGCTAAAATGCATAGCTGGATGATTCATACAGTTCACAGAGGAAGAGCATGAGGAAGGAAGGAAGGAAACTTGTCTCTGTATTTCCATGTGCAGAGTTTCCTTTCAAAATTAAGTTGAAAAGGAGGACAGCAGCCTCTAAATCATGGATAGGGACATGGGCAGAGATAGGGAAATGTAGGCTTTCTTCTGTCTCATCTCAGAATATGAAGGAAAAAAGAATAACTCAATCCTGAGAGACAAACGGCCCCCTACCACTTGACTCATGTGCACACCCAACCTGCATGGTGCAGGGATGGTTCTTGCATAATTCCAGCTCCACCCACCCGAAGCTGAGGAGGATAAAAGTGCCAGACTTTGAATCATCCTGTGAGTATTTATAATATGAATTAAGCTCATGGAAATGTTCAGTGTTTTCCTTTGGAAGAGCAGTCACTTCTTTACCAGTAAAATTGCTGTGCTCCTACAAGAACCACAGTTTATGGTGACTAGAATGGTAGTCGTCTTGTTTGATGTTAGGTGGAAATGGCCTACTGTTATCTGGCAGACAGGTTGGAGGGAGACAGCATCTTCAAGTGTTCCAGACCTCACACTTGGGTACTCATTGCTCTGGAATTTTCCCAAAGAAGTTGGAAGGAGGGCACAACACTAAGATTTCAGGGTGTTGTTGTTTTTTTTTTCAATCTCTTGACAGGCCCTAGGTATTTGGAGCCCTAGGCTCCCCTTCTGGCTGCATCTAGGTCACCATCTCCAAACAGAAGAGCATAGCCTAATGACTGGTTCCAACAAGCTGGTGTTCTTAACGCAGACCTTAAGTAATGATTATCGAGAACGAGAATCTTAAAGTGACAGAAAAAGGGGAAACCTGGTTGGAAAGCAGTGAGGTCTAAGCTGTGACATACCAAAGAGTGCAAGGGTCCTTCATAATTAGGAGATGATGAGGCCTGTCCTCCGTTTCTGGACCAAACAGCTGTGCCTGCTGATATTGAAAGGAAAAATATACCATCAAATCAGTGTACACTCAGACCCCCTATACTCACAAAAGAGCAGTGCTGATTCCCATTAGCAATAAGACAAAACACTTAATCTTCCCGGATGAAAATCTGGGGGCCAGAGAAATCTTTCAAATGTAAAACATGTAGTCTTTTCATGGGCTCACAGTGTCCTCAGGCTGCTCTGTAAAAAGGAATATTTTATTGGGTCTAAATTTCAGCTAGCAGAACTCCTCTGGGAGAAATCTGTCACAGGAGAATGGAAAGTCACGGTGCTTTTAAGGATACCAAGGAGAAGGGGTGATTAGGCCTCTACTGGACGCCAGACTGTGTTCAATCAGAATCCCCTTGTTAATGCAGAAGAACCTGACTCTTGTTTTGAAAGTATCTATGGAATGAGATAAACCTTCAAAACCTATGTATTTGTTATTTATTTTAGTGCTGGAGATCGAACTCAGTGCTTAGCACATGCTCTGTATATACTGGGGTCCCCTCAGAAACTTCTGGACGGAATCAGGTTAGTTCAAAGCACTTCACTAAAGAAGAACTTAAAACAATAGCAACTAAGCAGTTTCTTCCAAAGAGCCTTCTAGAATATATTTCCTCTATCCAACCTTCAAAACAAAAACCACTTTTAAATTTAAATCAGTTTTAAAGTTCAGATATACTGTAGAAAACTTAGAAAATCCATAATTCAAAACAGGGGGAAAAAACCCAATAACTATGATCTCTCAAGATCCCATGATCTGGGGCTGCCAGCACATTTAAAATCCATTCTTCCTGTCTTTTCTGGGTATGCCTGTGTATTTTTATGCTAAATAAAAATAGGATATTTTGTTCAATTACTTTTCTTGACAGAATTTGGACAGAGCCGTTGGTGTGAAAATAGCAATCTGTCCCCTTATTTATATCTTCATAAAAGCTCTTTCTTCCTAACATGTGGTCTTCCAAAAAGCATTACAAGGACCCTAAAAAGTGCCCTCCCCAGGCCTGCTTTCTGCACCTTCTACCTACAGCAGGTTGCTGAGGCTGAGGTGCCACTGAAGGCTTGTGCATCTACCTCCCCAGTCTTCCCTAAAGAGCAGCGGCAGCCGGAACCTGAGTACCAGGTTCTTGAGCAAGCTCTCTCATTGTTACCGGCATACCCTTGGCAAACCACCCAGCCTTCCCTCACTTCGGTACACTTACACACAAAACCAGGACATCTGACATTAGCTGTTCTCACACTTCAAGACCATGGAACTAGCTGCTTTGTTTGAAGTGGGAAATGTGGTGTTCCACCAGCTTCATACTCTCCTCCTATTACCTCAAGTCCTTTGTACTCAATCCTTCTCTGGTTTGGGAGACTGATATTTGAGTTAATTTTTCAGAGCCTAAGTATCTGGTGCCAAGCCAGAAGAGCACAATATTGAGCTTTCCTTTTCATTTGTGCCATGGGGGGTATTCGGGTACCATCTCAGAATCAGCCTGCATCGTCCCAGCTTCAATCTGGTCACCCAGAACAGACTGACTTCAGGATCCAGGAGATCCCACCACTGTCCTCTTCTGAAAAACGTCATATAGCACAGTGGCTGAAATGCCATCCATGCTGCAGCCAACATTTCATAAAGCCGTTTGGTAGTTTGAAACCTCTTACTTTCTACACGGGGACTCAGTTTACAGGGAGCTGTACGAGAGCTGCACACAGGGAACAGGACAGGATTCAGGGACACAACCTTTAGGTAAAGCAAATCTATTCTAAATTCCAGTAAGGTCAGGTATACATGTGACAGGTTTGTATGGAAGCTACCTTGTCTTCTTTCCAAATGATCTGAGATATAGACAAGGCAAGGCTCTCTGAAAGCATTCATGTAAGAAGGGCAGTAGGTCACTCAAATGTACCTTGGAAAAGTAAAATGTCTTACTATATAACTGTACCACTTATAATTATGTGATGAGAATCCATACATCATAGTAATAAATTATATTTTAAAGACAAACATCCCCCTTACTTTATACAATTATACAACAATTTATGTACAAAAATCACACTTTCTTCTAAATATTTCAACAGAATTAGGGAAGGCTCAAATATCTTCAGGGAAGGATTCATTTATATAGCCTATAAATAGTAGACATCCATGACTACATTAACTATTTCTTTGAAAAATTCTATTGGAATAAATGATTCGGCTATTGAACATATTCTGTAGAACTAAGAAGAGTTGAAGAAATGCCTTTTCATCTAATTTTAAGGAAAAAAGTGGATACAAATGCACCTTCATCCACCTCACTCTATTTGTCTATGGAAATGCTATGATTTGAGATTTCTGTAGGCAGTGGGAGTGCCGAAGGTGTTTTCTGCAACCCGTTACAACTGTGAAGCAAAATGTGGAATACAGTACCTGAGAGCGAAGGAGGAGAGCCAACAGGGGTTGAAGGGTTTGAGGAAAAGCTGTTGTTCGTGTGATCTGGAGAATAGATCTTAAAATAGTGGGGAGGAAAAGAACTTCTCATTTATTCTGAATACACAATGCATAAACAATAAAAGTAGCCATGTAGTTCATTTAAAACCCACAAGTCACAAAACGCATGTGGCAGACCACTGTCCTAACAACATTCCAAAGTGAAAAAAAAAAAAAATGCAACAATAACCTCAAGTTTGCCAAAGAATCACGGCAGTGGTGTGTGATGGTCAACAAGGAAGTGGGGTTAGCCAACTTCAAGTCCAGTGCTTTTCCTACCCATCACTGGCTGTGTGGCTGTGGGCAAGCCAAAGACATACGGCTTTCTAATTTTCCTTTCTTCCTCCAGAAGACAAGAGGCGGGGCAGTATCATGTCTGCTGGGATTGGGGCATCTGAGTGCCGGACACCAGAGAGCCCAGATTAAACAAGTACTTTCACTTGGATTCAATGCTGATGTTACCGGAACTTGTTTTATGTTCACAGTGGGAGGGGAAAAGCAGCTAAAGACACAAATCTTAGAAGAACGAATTTCCTCTTAAAAGTGTAAGCGATCATGTACAGCCTCTGAGGACAATCCAAGGAGCAGTACTTGAGTTGAATGAATAAGGAATGCTATTTTGTCACTAGGGAGCACACAAGAATTATTCAGCTCCAGCTTACTGGCAGTGTGGGTGACAAGGCAGAGAAGTTAAGTCCCTTAGGTGCCAATGAGGTGACAGGTCCCCTGTGGACCTCAGCTACTGTCCTTCTTTTTTTCCCCAAGTAATTTTTCTAACTGTCTTGCAACTGACTCTTGAAGAGTCAGTCTTAGTCAATGGACATCTATAATAATTTAGAGATGGAAAAATGAGAAAGGATCACAGAAAAAAAAAAATCTATGAGCCAAAAAAGCCCAGAGAATCTCCCTAGACCCTCATTGAAGGTGACTGAACACCAGTGGGAAAACAAGATCAAAGAGGCTTGCTCACCAAAGGAGGTGAAATCGCTTTCCCTCAAAAGTCTCAGTGATCCTTATCGCCCACCCCCACCCCCCAATCAAAGCTATTTGCATTTATTTTCTAAAATTCCATATGTCCACTTCTGATTAAAGTTCACCCTGCCACACGCGGTGCCTGTGGAGTCCAAAGTCAATATTTCCTCACCGAAGCCAGGGCTTTTCCCAGAGCATCTCCAGTCTGGGAGCTGCCTGCTGCCCCAGTTCCTCTATTTGCTGCAAAAACAAAAGGCAGAATATGAAAACCAGGCAGTGAGACGTCTAACCGTTTTCTATTCCTGGTCCATTTACTCACAATTTAATTGCATTTTTAATGCTAATTATAACACATTAATCTTTAATTAGCATTAATTTGTTTGCTGAGGTAGATGTCAAATATATTCATGTTACTTTTTTTTACAGATAAAATATAAACCTGACACCTTGATTTAAAGACAAAATGTTTCCCCTGCCATTACTCCCCCGCAAGTCACTGGTGAGTAGTTACTGGAGACAGATACCCAGCCAGCCCTTAGTGGTCATCATTGCTAAGAAAAATGTGACACTTGCAGGACTTGGAGAGTCCTCAAACTCCAACATTTCTTTATATATAATTGAATTATCTTCATGAATAATTTGCACCTATATTTAAATAAAGAAAAATTTGATAGACAGCAAAATGGAGTGTTCATCTTAGTGTTGGACAGCAGGTAGAGCATGAAAACAAATCTATAATTGGTCTGGCTAATGACGAGAGAGAATATTTTTATTATTTCAAATATATAGTTTCCATATATAAAACAAAAAAGGTATGATTAATAATAGTGCATATGTTCCAGTATAGAACACAGCCAACTCCTTTGTTGAAGGTACATGTGGTTGAGAACGGGCCAGGTGGTGTTACGAGTGTTTCACAGAAACACTGGCTGGACCTGGGGAATACTGTCTACCTAACAGCCTCAACACAAGCCAACAGACTTAAGGATAATCTATTAATGTTCTAGGAGAATTTTTTTTTCACTTTTTTGTGGAGTGAGAAAAGGAAATATTAAGTTAATTGATAAATGATGAGTTCAAGCAAAATTTCACTACACACTTATATGATGTTTACGTTCCCCAGCCTTCTTCAACAGGAGACCCTTTTAGCTAACCAACTTATACCATCTCCTTCCAGACCTACAACACGTGGTAGGACATGATCACGACTGCAGTGGTCAAATCCACAGCTTCTCTGGGTCTAACTTCATTCTCTGGACTCTGCTCAGTGTAGCGAAGGTATGTTTGTAACTTTCACACATTTACATGCTAGGCATGTCAGTTATTTCTTACATATGCTTTACTTGATAAACACAACTCCCACACAGACCTATTTGCTCACTCCTGGGACACTGAAAGGTGTCACCTGCATGACAAAACACAGTATCTTCGGAGAAAGCAAACCTCTTCCTTTCCTATCACAAATGTCTGATGGACATGAGTTCTATGAATACTGTGGATTATGGGTGTGGGAAAATTCTCAGAAAGTATGTCTGATATCACAGAACCGGGCACATAACAGCAACTTAGAAAGGTATTAAGCCCATTAAAATACTTAAGATAAAAAAATATGAGCCGGGCGGTGGTGGCGCACGCCTTTAATCCCAGCACTCGGGAGGCAGAGCCAGGCGGATCTCTGTGAGTTCGAGGCCAGCCTGGGCTACCAAGCGAGTCCCAGGAAAGGCGCAAAGCTACACAGAGAAACCCTGTCTCGAAAAACCAAAAAAAAAAAAAAAAATAGCTGAAATTATTTCTAGTATGAAAATGTCAATTTCTGAATTAAAGAGTTTTAAAAACTAAAGATGGTTCTAAAAGTGCTATGATAAAGATCTGAAGACATAGAAAGTACATCTCATCAATATGCATTATTATACTATCTGTGGGAGTGGTTATCTTTTTTCATTGAGAAATATTATCTTTTCACTCTTATATGTTTAAACAAAGGTTGCAGTCAAAATATTGTTTTCAATACAGATTTCAATACAGATCTCCATAAAGTGAATGTTCATAGAAATACTGGTGGGGGAAAAAATCTAAACAAAAAACACACAAGAATTTAACAATAAAGAATTGCTACAGCAGTAGCTTTCAGAAGATTAAATGAAGGGTATAAAATATCCCCCATCCATTCATTTTTACGACAGAAAACAGGAAGACTTGAAAAACCATTGAACATATTCTAAGAACATCTACAAAGTAAATAATGTATCACATAAAATCATACTTTAAAAAAGATTGGATACTCTTTGTATGATTTTGAAAATCTTTAGACTTACTTATTATTTAATATGTATGAATGTTTTGCCTACATGATGTATCGCACCACATATGTGTCTGGGGCCGGAAAGGTCAAAAGGAAGCTTTGATTCTCCTGGGACTGGAGTTAGTGACTGCCGTGAGCCACGATGTAGGTTCTGAGAATTGAACCTGGGTCTTCTGCAAGAGCAACAAGGGCTCACTGGTGAGCCAACTTTCTAGCCCCAGTGTGATTTTTGTTTTAAAGCACTGAACCTTTTATACTAAGCTATTAGTGTCTTCTTTATACAAAGAGATATTAAGACTCAGGAAGCTGAATCAAAAATAGAATCAACTCCTTACCTCATCTGGTCATAAAAATGTTTCAGAAAACTACAAAGGCTATTCATGCAAGTCACCGATAAGAACGGACTATTTTTTTTAACTTTAAGCCATTTTACCTTGCAAGAGCTGGACAGCCCAACCCAAGGGCTTAAATTTCAAAGCAGTTTGCGGGGGCTAGTCTACTGTTTCCCTGGGCATGCCTTTTGTTCTGTTCCAGGAAACACGGGGGGAACACATTTTCAAAGTGAGCTTGGTCTGCTCTTGAAGATGTCTCTTTTTATTTGTGTGACCAGTACACGAAAGGACACACAGAATTGGAAAGGAGATACATTTTTAATTCTCAAATGGCATAATATTTGGTCTTGGTACTGAAAAGTGGGTCATATTTAGCAAAAACACATATTAAATCCACCGTTCAGGCTTCAGTGTATTAGAACTTCATTACTATTTTAGTACCAAGTTCTTGTCAATGTATGTTATTAGAAAATCACTAATGTCCATGTGACAAAAATAAATATGAAACCCAACTTAATTTATTTTGGTTCTAATCAATTTCTTTTGTTCAACAGAAACAAACAAACAACAACCAACCAAACAAACAAACCAACAACAACAACAAAAATACAACCCAGCCTGTAAGTAAAAGTATGATATAAATGGAAGATGAACAATTATGAAAAGCTTTGTAATTTTATAGGAGGGTTTGATATTGCCAGCCACTCAAGTATTGTTCCGATGGCTCAAACACAGGTGCTGTTGCTGGCTAGATGGAGCACACACAAAGGTTTCATATCCTGTGCTCGGTGGTGGACCACCTTCTGTTAGTCTGCACTTTGGGGAAATGGCGATTCCCATCAGAACACACCCCAAACAAAATACCAGGACGAGTGGTGCCTGGGGATCAGCCCTGAAAATCGGACTCTGGAAAATATGTTTCCCCTTTATTGCACACCCATAACCTGAGGCAGGGAACAGAGGACATCAAAGGCAGAGGAACTACAAGTCAGTGTGTCATCCAGAGAAGGGCTGCTTCAAGATGAGGCTCTTCTGAACTGTGTCCCAAGGACCTTCATGTCATTAAAATGCTAAGGAGAAGCATGGCCACACCATGAGCTTGTCCGCAAAGATGACTGTGACATGGAACATTGCCAACTCTCCTCTCAGACTCTCAGAACAATCTCCAACATGGCCGCGATGCAGGGATGCTACGTGGGAATGACTCCAGGCATTCAGAGGGGAAGGTGGGCCTCCTGACTGTGTGCAGGAAATGGTGGAGAGGCTTAAATCAAACTCATTTATTGCTCTCCATTGGTGGTCTTTATAACCACAGACCTGACACGGCTGGATAAAATGTATCTTTCCTCTTCAGTCTGTGCCTGGTCATCACCCAAATTCATCTGAAAGCTCAAGCTCCTCATAAAACACAGACTGGATATTATGTGACGAGTTTAATAAAATTACTATGAAACCAAGTCCTCTAGGGAAAAGGGACATAATGTTTCTACTAGAAAGCCACATCCCAACATGCTTCATGTCACACAAACATGTCAGGAGGAGTGAAAGTTGTAAGGCAGATTAATTCATGAACCCGATAGATATTTCAGAGTAATCTTTAACATATGTTGCATTAAATCAATCTTAGTAGCCGGTTCCTTCAACACTACTTGGCTTGAGGTTTAAAAACATGGGAAATACCATCTTTTTCTGGACTCAGATGGTAAGCCAGTTAAAGACGAATAAAACAAGAGTGGTTATTATAAAGTGTTATGTTGTTATTTGCCCAATTCCCTGTGAGGGACAAGGAGGATGTATGGCCCCCAAATCTCAAAGATCACACTGTCAACGTATATAGATGGCAGTTCCCAATGGAAGGGGCAGATTGCTGAGTGGCTCTCAGGCTTGAGGAATCTCCCTGACCTATGCTATAGCAGAAGGTCCTCTCTTGATCAGCAAGAGCTGATCGTTCAGGAAGGAAAAAGTAGGAAGAAAGCAAAGTGTACTACCCTGTAGAAAGCCCTGTTCTCTGCAGCTGGCATCTAATAACTTCCTCTGTGTGCATACTTGGATCAAGAGGATCTGGACTATACCACTTCTGACAAACATCAGCTGCCTGGCATTGAAAGAGTATTTGGGGATGAGGCAGAAGAGATGCAAGTCACTTCCTAAAGCTCCCACCTTGCTTAGGTGCTAAACCAGCTGAGCTACCATTGATCCATTCTGTGCCCTATTAACCTCACTTAGTCCAGGATGCTTCAGGGACCCTTCCAATTCAGAAACCGCCAATGGAATCTAAAGGATGTGCTAGTATTTGCTAGAAAGGACAGGAATGGACCCTAAGCCACAAGTAAAATATTTTACCATGGATATGTCATTGAAAAAAATTTCATAAATGTTTCTCAGAAGAACTGGCATTGGGCATTGAAAAATCAAAGGAAAGCAAACAAGTCTTCGAAAAAGAAGGCTGAGTCAGTTGTCTCAGCAAGACAGATGACAAGCCATCCCCAACCCAAGCAAGCACTTTCCATCTTTGAGATGCAGCAAACAGACAAGAAGTGAGATGCCGGCCTTGAGAGGCTGTGTCTTGAAGCTCTACAGTTTGTGGCTCCCTCCACAGATACGTGAGGTTCTACAGGCTTTAGGTCGATGGCTGATAGCCATGGTAAAATATTATCACATGATACGGAGACATGGAGCAGCCTTCTGAATCCAGAAAGCTTCCTTAAACGTCAATGCCATGTTTCAGAGGGCTGCATTGCCTTGCATCTTTGTGCCAAGAAAACTTGAAAACTGGGCTGTCCATGTGTTAGTGCTCGAACCCATTCTTATGGCATTAGTGCTCTTAGGTTTTTTTTTTTTCCCCCTACAGGATCATGTGTGTAATCTCAAACATGTGTCAGGCTATGTGTTCCTTATTTACCAATTATTTAATTAGCCCTGTTTGTTCTTTGAGATACAGGCAATGTAGTATTTCTTTATTTCCTGCATTTCAGAATGAGTGAGTATATGCCAAATATTTTCAAAAGTCTACAGATGTATCCTATTAGTCCTCACTGTTTGTTAGGGAAGCACACTGACATCAGAAGGCTTCTCTTCATGTTATGCAGACATGCGGCCATCGCTGCCTCCTTCCACACACCAAACCAAAGCCTACGAGAATCTTCCATGAAGACACATGAGTACTGGAACACCATGAGACTATGGCTTAGAACTGGACTTCCATTTTTCCTCTGCATTTTTACACAAGGAATTGGAGAATACATTATTTTAAGGCAGAACATACTGGACTATTCAAGAACGTTCTCCCTTAAAGTAGCTTCAAAGTAACTTTTGTGTTTATGCAAATATAATAAGGGTATTTTTCCCCACAGGGCTGAATCTCCAGATGTACTTATTTTCAAAGAAATCATGATGCCTTTCTATATTTTTCTAATGGATTTTTGACAAGAATATTGATTCTTGTAAAATCATTTATGTAGTAGATTCCTAAAGATCCTTTGTTTGGGTTTAAAAATTTAATACTATTCTTTTAAAATTGGAGATCTTTATCATTGTCTGGACCCATGAAGCTTATACATAAGGCTAAGTTCATCTTCAGCATGCAGCTGGGCTCTTTGTAGGAGTCATTCATCCCTCTACTCTGCCCAGGTGACCGCTGTTTGTCCTCACGCTATCAGGGAGAGGGCCATCTAAAACAAGCAAACCTTATTCTCACTGTATCGGGCAATCAAGCTGTCCAAGATTCACAGAGAATAACCTGGACCACAATCTCTCTTTTACCCAGTGACGCATGCCTCAGTCACATAAAGACTGAAGATCAAGTCTACACAATAGTTTCTAAAAGATGGCCCAAGTGTGTTTTCCTGAACTCGAAGGTCTGTTCCACCTCCATATCTTCCTTAAAAAGAAAATGACTCAAACCACAAGTAGACAGGAAATCTGTCATGTACGAGGATGAATGACCGGCCATCCTTCATCACCAACCTCATGACTGGAGAAGGGGCTTTCCAACTGTCAAACCACACTGTAGTGAAATGTGCCCTCTTAGTCTTTCAGTTCTGCACTTTTCTTTCTTTCTTCTTGTTTTTCAAATCTGCCTAAACTTCACTGGTAGCTAATAAAACTTCCCCCATGTGACTTCTGTCCATAACTCTCCAAGGTCAGCCTGTACAGCACACTGGTAAAAGTTCTCTTATGGAAAGTTCCAGAAATGGAAACTCATTCCTAAATTTGCTTCTCTGTGAGATGTGATAGGAGAGAGCAGCTAGGTGGCTCATCTCAAGTGTGAAATAAATTACTGAATAAGCAAGCAAGGGTATTAGTTAGCCAGAAATTATATTTTAACATTTTAATACCATCTCCTTCACCAAAGGCTCTCCCACATAAGTGATTCACACAATTCCCAAAGTTCAAAGAAAAAAGAAAAAAAAAATCACAAAAAAACTAAAGCAATAAACAGCAGTATGATGTTTTCTCTAAAACATAGCCTGAGTTTTTCATCAGTGACCCTCTGGGAGTGATCTCAAAGGCCAAGCTGTTACAGTTTGAATGGGAAATGTCCCCCACAGGCTCGTGTATCTGAACACTTTGTTCCTAGCTGGTGGTGCTGTTTTGGAAGACTGTGGAAACTGTGAGACACGGGGCTTGGCTGGCAGACACAGACAACTGTGGGCACACCACAATGGAGACAGCCTGGCCTGGTTGATGGTCTCATCTCTGTTTTCTGATCCACTGAGATGCAGTAATCTACACCGCAGGCTCTACCCACCAAGGACAAGGCCGCAGGTCATTCTAGACTGTGTGTCTTCGTACCATGAGCTCAGATGAAACTCTCCTCTCATGAGCTGCTTGGGTCAGGCATTTGGTCACAGCAACAACTACCCAATGCACCTGCCAAGTGTGGCTTAGAGTGGAACAGAGTGGGCTGTGATCAGCAACGTCTTGGGTTTTATGAAGACCCTGATGTGTCTAGGTGTGCTATGCATTAGAATGAGAAGCTTGTCAAGACTCATCCTGAGATGAGAGGCTACCTCCTTCCCAACCAGGGTCTTCTCTTTAGGAGTAGCTGAACACCCTGCCTAGCTCTTCCCTCGGGAAAACAGTACTGGCAGAGATCCACCTGCATTAACGGACCACAAAAGTCATCGGGGGCATGAGTGGATGATGCAGTTGGCAGCAACAATCTTCCTGAACCTAAACTTATTACAAAGCCCACAGGAAATAATTTCTGGTCCACTGTTACTCAGACATCTCTCTGATGTGAACAAGTACCACTTCTCTTCAAGGGCTCCATAACGCTACATTCTCTGAAGGTTAAATTCATCTAGCTAGTAAAAGGACTTTTAATTGAAAATTTCATATAAACAAGTCTTTGGAAGACAGTAACATGTCGTGAGTAAGACCTTAGCATAACAGTCAGGCTCTGGAAAGTGGTGAACTGTTGCTGCTAAGTGACATCCTTTCCCTCATCTTACTGGTCTTCTATGAATAATCTTAAGAACAATTTACTTGCCCACTGCTTGAGAATGTGAGATGCAACAGATTCTGGGTCTTCTTAAACCCTTATTTAACTTAATGACTCATAATGGACAACAAAGTCAAATTTCAGTTTCATGTCACCAAAGAAAAAGTGGCTATGGGCAAGACAGTGATTATTGCTATTCAATACATTCATCTGTTCACTCAGTGATGAGCCCTGGCATCTGGACTGGCGTGCGCATCACTCACCCATGATGCTGTCGGTCCCGTTGGCAGGAGGAGTGCAGGAGGAGGTGCTGTAATGGTTTGTGCCGCTACGATGGAACGAGGACATCGGCGGAAGACTGGAGTTGATGTCTGCTGAGGAGTGGGATGGGTAGCTCTGCAGCAGGGGGCAGAAGAGAGGCTACATTCAGTCACCACATTCAGTCGACCTAGCGTTCTCCTACGTCTCTCAAAACTCACCCTATCGCAAGGGAGACACTTTCAGAATTTCAAAGCGGTCAAGAAAACATCCTGCTTGTATCTGATGGCTTTCATTTTCTAAACAACCAAATACGTACAGATCCAAAGTGGATCTGTGGTTACATGAATGCCAGAGGATATCATAGCAACCCAGGACACCAAGAAAAGATAAAAGTCTCCAAATCTCCAAATCACGGGTTAAAAGATCATCTCATACACTTCAGAAACATGCTATTTCTGTTACTTTTCTGGGGCCTACTGAACAGGTGAAAAAGATTGTATTACATAGTGAATACAACACACAGATCTCCAGGGTTTATGTGACATTGGACTGTGGCCTCTAGCCACTGCATGGCAAAGTAATAGGAACCTTCTTCTTTCCCCATTAGGTCATCTTGCTGAAGGAATCTCAGCATCAAGAACAAGATAGGAAATGAAAAAGTTTTAAAAGAATTAAAAGCTAAATCTCTCCAAAGTCTGAGTGTAGGAAAGCTTACACTGGTGGTGGCTTTGATGAATAGATTTGGGATCCAAAGCCTTGACTATGCTTTATTTCGCTGTGAGTTCCTTCTTTGCATGCTTCATATGCTATTTAGCTGACTATGAAGGGAGAGCATCTTTAAAGGGTCACTTGGCTTAAGGCTTGGCTTCAAATTCAATTGCTATAGCAGTTGTTCAAATGATTTAAGGTGGCATATTAGTTGGTCTGTACCTATCACTAAAGGAACATGTGTATTCACAAGGACACCTCAAGCTAATGCCCCACAAACAAACAAACAAACAGCCCAGAAGTATGAAAATTTATTTTCATAAGCATTTGGATGTGCTACAGATATGTTAAAGAAAAATATATAAAGATAAAAATTTTCCTGGCATGTGAAAAATTAAATCTACAAATTTTTATTATAGCATTATCACACATGCATTTAATTACTTAGTTTAAAAATAGAGGCTGGGCAATGGATCATTATTGTCTCATGACTAGAGACGCTTTTAAAATTACTTTTTAAATAGAGCTAGTAGGTACTGCAAACACCAGGAAGTAAGAAAACCCAGGCATTTGCTCACAGGAAGAAAAGTGGTTTCTTGGTGCTGGCCAACTGACTTGGGGAATTCTGCCTTTCCTAGAAGACCGTCACTTTGCTTATGACTCTCCTATGAGTTCAACCAAGTTGGACCTGCATTCTACACCATGCCATTTCACAGTCATCCATACGCCATCCATTGCTTACTATTCAAGTCCATTCCCATAATACTGTAAATTCCCCAAAAGGGAGGGGATGGAGCTCATACCTCCTCATGCCAGTGCCTGAGCAGTAAACATAAAATGACAGTGCATATTAATGGACAGTGGCTGAAGTATGACTTATCTGAGAGACTACCAAACAGTCGTCAGGTCACGCATCTACATTTCAGAGCTGAGTCTACCAGCAACACAATAACAAGATAGATAATTTAGAAGATGTCAACGAAAAGGGAGAGGTCTCTTGTTAAAACTCATTTATACTGGGGACTTGACTCTCCCAAGTTGCTCATATGACATTCTCTAAAGAATAATAGAACAGGGCTACTCTACAGAACAAATAATAAGAAAGACTAGATAGGATACAGGACTTGGAAAACCAGACATAGAAGGGTTGCGATATAACTAGTTCTGTTCTATAGAGAAAGGATTATGATAAAGATACAGAGAAAAAAAGGACCATGTGGAAAAGAATGAAAGAGAGAAAGATGGCATGACTATACTTGTATGGAGTAGTACTGTTGCTGAGTTTTTGCAGAAGTCAAAAAAGAGGATTTCAAAACTGCAAACAAAATATCTAGTTGATTATATATAATTAGAAGAAGTGACAGGGAAAAAAAGAAAATCATCAGTGAGACTCTTTGGATCCTTATAAGTTCATGGAAAATGGAGGATAATTTAGGATATGACACACAGAGAGTTAAGGCTAAGTGAAGAGAATATGAAGAAAAAACAATCCCCACAGTTTTATGGGGAAACTAATATAATCCATACTAAATCAGTTATTTTTTAGAGACACATAGAAAATTAGATGCTGAAACAAATGAATGCAGTTATAACCAGATTACTTTTCTATGAGAACTATCTCGAAAACTAACATTACTCATATAAATAAATACAGCACCAAGAACATTAGTGATGGATGTCTCTTTTAGAGGATACAAGGACCAAATCTAAGAGATTTTCATGATCTCTTTCTCCAACTATTACTGTCCATCCTTCTTGCTATAATGGTATGAAGGGAATGTGGTTAGTTTAAGTGTTATGGCTTTTCATGCCCATGCTTTTAATTTTTTTTTTTACTTCCGGTACCCACCTTAGAATCTACTAATCACGCAAGTGTTAACAAACATTCACATTGGTGATGTTTGTTACTGATGTATGGGTTATTCATTTGATGATTCAAAAATCTAAGAATTGGTGGTATATACTAAGAATTGAAATCATGCTATAGGCCAATTTGTGGGTTCAGAGTCTTGGCATTCATGACCTTTTGTGACAGATATTTCATTGCCATAGGGCTTTACTGTGTGTATGGTTACTAGTATCTCTGGCCTCTACCCACTGTGGACTGCAGTAGCATCTATATTCTAGCTGTAACAACAAGTATGCCTCTAAGCATTGTCCAGTGGTTCCTGAGGGCAGCCTTAAGACCAGCTGCAAATCACTGATGCACAAAAATAAAAGACAAAGGAACTTCCTTTATGCTAAAGTTCTAGATTTCCTCAGAACCCTGCACTATGTAATGCTAAAGCTATGTGTTAATCACATCAGGCAGGGAAGACTCTATCCTTACTTTTTCAACCATCTCTGGCAAGTCATTCCAAACTTCAATTTTCTACAGAGACCCATTCCAAAGCTTCATCAGGGTGGTTCTGTATATGTATCTGCAACAGGCAGTGTTGAGCTAGGGGATTCAGTTATAAAAGTCGAAACTGTAAAGGGGAATTAAAGACTTAAAATGGGCAACTCAACAGTTGCAGGTGAAATGCGTGGAACTGAAACTTCCTAATTACACCGTCTATTATGACATGGCTAATGATGTTTCCAAAATGTTTTACCTTTAGAGGTAATATGGTAGTGGTCAAATTATACCCTAAATAATCCAGGGAAATCTCTCTTCCTCATAAGCTAGCCCCTGTCAGCAAGGGTAGCCAAAGGCTATAGAATGGAGCTGTAGGGAACCATCACTATTTTCAAGATAAAAGATGCAGGCTGCTGTTGTATATTCAAATTATTCCCAATCAGTGTCAGAGTCTTCAAAGTCACTTCAGAGAGAGACTGTCATATGGCTAAATACTGAAATTACAATGATAACTAGACGTAATAATTCAATAGTTTCATTCTCAGTGGGAAAACTCATTAGGATACATTACCAGAGACCTTATTCATTTACCCTTTAAACAAAAATCTTGCTCTCTGAGATCTGTTAACTGATCACATTAAGAATGGGAACCTGAGTTCTGTGACGGACACATGGCTTTACCAAGGCAGTTTCTCATGGGACCCACTGAGACACTACTTTAAAATGATCTTTGTCTCTGGACGATGATACTGTTTTGATTCATTAAAACTTTTTCTAACATGTACTTGGTTTCAGATTTGAAATTATACCTTTTGTGCATATGAGCATAAATTAAGGGCTCCCTCACCATGCAGTGAACTTTAGTGGGATAAAAATCATATCATAATATAAAATTATAAAATATGATAAGAAAAGAAATAACTGTAGGGGAAAGGAAAATAACATGTGGACAAATCTTCAAAGGATTGAAATTCTAACATTTAATACAGTACACCAAACAGTAATTTGCCATCATAACTTCCCTAGTTTTGATTATGAATCCTAGGGAAAGCAGGAAATGGTAGTGGATAAGTAAAAAACTTACCAAAGATATTCTATTATAATTACAGTTTATATTTCTCTAAGCTGTCACTCAAATGTCTCCAAGTAGAGGGTGGGAGAAGAGGAAATCTGAAACTCAATGATTTGCTATTTACTGAAATGTGCTAAAATTGGAGTGATAACAAACAGGCCACTCCCATCACTACCACCTGCTTCTCAGGAAAGTAAAGGAAGGCTAAGTGACCACGTGGTATCCAGAGTTCTAGGACCAACTAAAAGTGGATTTACAAGGATATCGGAACTTTTATATCTGGAATCTTTCGGACATCTGAGAAGGCTATAAATCTTTCTATTCCCTTCTACATAAACAGAGGTTGAACAAAGGAGAGGAGGAACCACAGGAATCCAGAAAGAATGTCCCTGATCAGGACAGAGAAAAAGTAATAAATATGGAATGAGGAAAGGAGAGGAAGAAGAGATGTGCTTAAGTCATAACCAAAGACTTTCCTTCACATCGGTGGGGTTTGAAGTTGTGTGTGCCTGTGTGTGTGTGTGTGTGTGTGTGTGTGTGTGTGTGTGTGTGTGTGTGTGTGACGCATGTGGGGATGCAGGTACATGCAACCGTGTGTGCACAGGAGGAGACTAGATTTTGGATGTCCTTCTCTATCACTCTTTGCCTCATTGCGTTGAGACAGGTTTTCTCACTGAGCCCAAGGCTCTCCTTTTTAACTAGATTGGCTGGCCAGCAAGCAGTTGGGATCAGCCTGTTTTCCTATCTCCATCCCCAGTGCTGGGGTTACAGGCCCACACCGGTATACCCAGCTTTTCACACGAGTGTTGGGATTTCTCACGCTTACAAGTACTCTTGCCTACTAAGCCGTCTTCCCAGCCTATGGAATTTTAGTTTTTATTTGTACGTTAATGGACAATGAATTCGAATCTCATGTGACCTGCATCCCATACCCAACTCATGATCTAGACATTTTTCTTCTACTTAATGATAGATTTAATACAGAAGTAGATTCTTGGCTGTGGTAGTTTTTAAGCCTCGAGAGGGTCAGATGGCTGATTTTTCCAGGACAAGGAAATATCTACACAAAGGTGTGTAAGCAGAAGACATGGGCAGAGTAGAAAAACCTTCCTAAGGAAAGACTTAATACTGTACAAGCCAGTGGCTTTCATTGGGCTGTTTAGCAAAACAGAACGTAAGTGGCACTTGTGTGGAATTAAAATTTAAAACTCAATGTATGTGGAAATTCCACAGTTTCCTATTCCCAACAAGACTACATAGAAAACATAAACCATTTCCTTATAGTAGGTCACAAAAGGTCAAAGGTGACATGGAAATCCCTGTGATCTCAAATCTTTCTCACTCCGCCCTTAGCAGAGCATTCTCCAGAATTTCAGACAGTAAAAAACGCAAGGCACCGCCACTGCTGGAGACCGGAACTCAAAAACACTGTTGTTTATGAACCACGGGAAGCTGACCTCGCCGTAAAGAAAACAGAACGAAATATGATAAACGAACAACGACAAAGACGCTCTACAAGGTTTACCGAGGTGATCCGCTTCTGTTGAGCCTTTGATCACAGAAACAATAAAACTCGTAGAATAATAGGCACGAGCTACTTTTTGCCTCTTTGCAGAGTCCTTGCGTACACACACAGAGATGAAACTCATAAACTGGCGGGTGCTCACTCACCCCATCCCCGTGAGCCGTCCTTACCAAACGTTCATGTGGATGCAGGCTACAGTAGCTGCTAGACTGCGGAATGTGAGAGGAATTGCCCAACATTCCTCCATAGCCAGGCTGGTTCATTCCACTGGAGGAGCTCCAAGGGTCACTGCTGTGATGGCCGTCTGTAAAGGACAAAGAAAACCGTGACTTTTCTGAGGCATTCAGCCTTGCCTTTTCGAATAGGGTTTCTTCGTATACTTGAAAATAATCTCTGGTTGTGCATTCATCTTTGTGTGGCTTCGCTGATTACCTCACACGAGAGTCATCACTATTTTTTTTTTTTTCTCCTGAGTGGCTTTTTACATTGTCAAACAAACAGAAACATTCAAGCGTTCTTGGTAAAACTTCAACTGGAAAAGAACAGAACGTGTTTCTGTGCGGAATTATATCAAGTCAGCAAGGTAACTCATGCTGAAAGAAACCGTTCTTAGGAACCCCTGACCCCCACTTTTATGAAAGTCATCTAAAAAGTTAAATCATTCTCAAACTTGGAGGTGAAAATGAAATAGTTGAGACACTACCGAGGTGGCAGGGCTGCAGGTTTTAAGAGACCACACTGAAATGACTGTTGCAGAAGAGCCACCCAGATTTGGAGGGTTGGATTTCATCTCTGTGCCGTGCGCAACACAGAGAATTAACGTTGGGGTTATCTTACAGTAAGTGGGGGAGATATTTCCGTCCTAGGTCATTCGGGAATTTGATATACATGTACATAGCTCTCTGAAATCTTCAGGAGCAATGTGAGGAGTACATGCATGTCTTAAGATAGATATTATAATACATAGAAAAAATGGACAGACTTTGGATTTCATAAATATACGAGGTAAAGGAATTTGAAAATCATACAGAGATATCATTTTATTGTCTCTTTTAGTGTGCAGGTAGTCTTTCATATTAACAGCAGACTAGAAGCACTCTTAAAGATTCCTTTCACTCCCTGGCCCTGCAGTTATATAGACTGCAATTGTTTCATTTTGATTTCTCAAACAAACCTAAGGGCAAGAACCAGCCTGAACCACTGCTAACTCAGCCGCCTCCCCCTTCTCTCAGTAGCCGAACAGAAATGATTAAGTATTGGACTATACCAGGTCACCAGCTTAATGCTGAATGCATGCAGCTATGCCATGTTGAAAACAAGCTTATTTACACAGTAACATGTACGTAACTATAGCCCTTTAAACCAGGCAAATTTTATCTGATATTTTATTTCATGAAGCTATGGGTTGTTTTTTTTTTTTTTTTTTCCACTTAACTTTTAAATTCTGAAGTTAGAATTTCAGAACCAGTCTGGTTGCAGAACCCAAAGGGAGAGATGGTAGATTTCTACCTTTAAGAACCATATAAGCAAACTCATGTTTGTAATTTTGACGAATGTAGACTTGTAACCAAAAGATAAAAAGTAAAGGTCAAAGTAAGAGATCATAACAATAAGTTTAAAATAAGCCCATGCCAATCTCGCCATTACCCTTCTGCACACCCACATATTCATTCAAGCCCTGATCATATCATTTTGCACTTACTTCCCAGAAAGAACTGATGTGTGTGAGACAGAATCATCAAGTCATTGTTTCTGTGATCACCACATGGGAACTCAGTGTCTTCAAAAAGTGAACTGTTTTTGGAGGGTATGTGTGCATGTGTGTGTGTCCATATGCATGCAGATATATGCAGGTGCAAAAATACAGGTGGGCTCATGCATGTGGAGGCCAGAAGTCATTATTTTGAAACAAAGTCTCCTGTTGAACATGGAACTTTCTGGTTTGGCTAGCTGGATGGCCAGCAAGCTGCAGGGATACATCTATCTCTGCCTCCCTAGGGCTGAGTGAGCATAGAAGCATCTGGAATCTATATGGGTGTTAAGGATCCAAACTCAGGTCCCCGTCTCATACAGCCATCTCTCCCAACCCAAAGTTAATATTTCACATGCTTTAGATTTCGAGTGGAATACAGAAGTGTAAACGTCACCTTAAACTTAAATATGAAGTTCAAGACCACTAACACTTTAAATGGAGTGCGCATTCGACAAATAAATTAGGAATATGTATCACTGAATAAGCGTTTTCTTGAAATATTCTGACAACTCGATGCATGGTGTGGCAATACACTTAGGATTGTTAACACAGCGTACTCTACTCCACGCAGACTTATAAAAATATGTATTTTACATAAATTATGCTTTTCAGAGTAAATTAATATTTATCACATCCCATATCTTGGCATAATGTTGTTTTGAAAGAATAGAATTAGATGTGTGCAAATTAATTGTGCTCATCATAAATGTCAACTGAAGATTTTTTTTTGAGTATTCATATGCAGAAAAACAAATCTGTTCCCCATAGTTTACGGGGTGTGCTATGGAAAGGTACTTACTGCTTTAATCTACCTGGCCTCTTTGCTATGTGTGCAGTTCAAGACAACCAGTTTCTCAGACACATAGAGGGGCTTTATTCTTCTGTCCATTTTCTTAATGAAGACCTGATTTTTGACATAAAGAGCCCTTGAGCCCGCAGCACCTGTAGGCAGTTTCTCCCACTGTTCATAGCCGAAGGCAATTAGAACCACGGCACAGAATGTACCAAAGTATTAGCCACTGTCCCTTTGAGAGTTACACCTAGGTCGGGTCACAAAGATACAGGAGACCATGAGCTCACTAATGTGTGGAACAAATTCTCCCTGATCCCACAGGACCCACTGCCTTCTACTTTATAGACTTTCTATAGAACTTCACATGTAAACCAGCATTTCATATGAGCTGACATGGAAGGGAAAGATGAGTCTCTCCTCATCGTAGTAGTTTTGACTATGCCCTTTGCAATTTCAGTGAGACCCCAGACCGCTCTCTTCAAGTGGTATTACTGCCCCAAGTGTGTGCTTGTTCTCATGCGTCACTATCCATAGAGTAGTATTCCTCTGCACTGGGCCAAGGTATACTCAAGTAAGATATATACATCCAGACAGAAGGAGTTAGAGTGGTGTATTTGCAAGAATTCTTAGTAAATCTCACCTGTAACCGCAGGGAATCTTGGGACTAAGACTATCTTAGTTTTAAGTATCCTAGATATGGCAAGGATGGAACCCATAGCTCCTTCCTCTGAATAGACCATTTGTGAAATAGCTGGTACCATTTTGATGATCCCGGTCTTTTCCAATTAGCAGGGAGGAGCTAAGTGACCAGTGGTAATGTATAGGCTCCATGGATATATAACCATTTGTCTTTTAAGCACATACAGTGAGTAATTAAAAGAATCCATAGTCATCCTCCACCATGAAGCTGAAATGTCCCTGTCATGTACTCTTCGTACCCCCTTCAACATTTTCTTTTACCTTAAATCAATCAGTACGTCTCAATGTATAACATTCCACGTTTCAATGGGTCACTTATTCTTAAATGGAACCCTTGTTCTCACTTATACATTAATAAGTTGTTGAAAACTTTATAGATGGCTGGACCCAAGGGGACTCTCTTCCCTCTTGGCTAAATACAAGATCTCCAAAACACAGACTGAGCTGGTTGATATACATCTAAACATGTGCATGATTGGGAGATGGCAGTGATACTGAAGACCAACAATTCTGGAAGACCAACAAGGCATTTGTTTACGTGAGGCAGAACAATTTAATTTGAACCCATTACAGGTCAAAGGGCTTTAATGCAAAAGAAAAACTGTTTTAGGTAACTTTTACTTAATTAGGTAAGGAACTCAATTCCTAAGAGGGGAAACACCTCTAGCCCCCTCCACTCTGGTCTATCATTCCATTTTGTTTGCCCTGTATGTACCACTAAACGGCTCGTGGACTTCCTGGCAGGCCAAGAGGCAACTTACCTTGCATGAAGAAGGAGCTAGGGAAAGTGCTCGCCGCTGGTTTGGAGGAAGGATAGCCTGGTGAGTCCCTATTGTAGTCGGCAGTGCTTGCTGAAGGAGCGTAGACCTGGGGAGGGAGAACCACATGAGCTTTGCTTTCTACATCGATCAGAGCATCTCTACATCCATGATTTGGTGAGAGGCTGGCACAAAACATAAAATTTGGACGCTGTTAGAGCCTAAACCTCATCCAACCCTAGAAACACTGCCTCCTTTGAATACAGCATAAAAAAAAAAGTTCTGTATATTTGTGTTAACATAAAATAATCAGGTATGAGATTTTCCAGTCCAGGCGAGAACACTGCAAACCATGTCTAGGGGTAAATACACTCTGCAGGCCGGAGTAGCCCCGGTCTACAAATTCCTTTCGTTTTTAAACACAGATGGCCCATGAGCATGTTAAGGGTAACACAGAAAGTCCTGCACACAGTCTCTCCCAAAGGACAGACCAAACCTCCACTTTTCAATTAAATATTTCACTTGCAATGCAGGAGGGAGGGAGGGAGGTGGCAGGGAGGGGAGGAAAGGAGGAAGAAGGGGGAGGGAGGGAGGGAGGGAGGGAAGGAGGGAGAACGAACAGGAACCAGGAATGAGTGATAAGTATATATATGGATATATATATCTTGGACTATTACATCCACACAGTGTCTGCAGAGATGCATGAAAAAGGCCATTAAGAGCCTGGATCAACATAAGGACCACCAACAATCAGTGTGCACACAGGAAGAGGGGCTGTCTTTTTTTTTTTAAGCACTTATTATATTTGTGTGTACAATAAACTTTAAAAGTGTGCCAAAAACGTAATTTACTTAACATTCGTTTACTAATCCTCATGAGACTTGGGGAATCAGTTCCTCATAAAAATAGCCCTCGTGTTTTCTTGTTTATGTTGCCTTGAAGCAGGACAGCATCACAGCAAAGCATAAATTCATAAGGTATAGTTTAACTTTAATTGGTTCTCTCCCTTGCCTTTTCTGCTAAATATAATCTTTTTTTTTTCTTTTTTAATTCCCATTTTCTTTTGCTCTAAAAGTTCCTCTCCAGATGGTTGGAAAGACCGAACGGCTCATCCTCTTGGTGAAAATGGATACCTTCCTGCCTCCATTTTGAAGCAGGCAGCGGCTCACAAACTTGGCAGTGAGCCTACACTGATATTCACAGGTCACAGTGAGAGAAGAAATTCACCAACAAAAAGGCTGCGGCAGCGGGATTACAAAAAAAAAAAAAAAAAAAAAAAAGCTCCATTTTTGCCACGCATATCAAACAAACACCCTAAAAATTATATAATTCTCTCAGAACATCCATGACTCATAAAGTCTAAGGATTAATACCAGGTTTAGGATTTCACAAAGAGTAGGTCCACAGAGACAGATGTGGGAAATGTGTATCCGCATCCATACATCAAATAAATGCTCCACACGCCCTTGAAAATCTGGAGGTCCTGGATGTTAAACCAAACAAACCACACCAGAAAGAGCCACTCAAGCTGTGGACAGCAAGTGTGTTCTCCCCCTAAGTCCCAGAGAGATTTAAGTACCATTTTTCATAGTTTTTCATTTTGTAATTTTCTCTACTTCTGAAATGTATGGATAGTAATTGATTTCTATTTCTACAGGGTTCATAATAAGGGGCGCCTGGAAGCCCCACAACATTCCTGAAGTGTCTTTAAGAAACAAAGAGTGAACTGTAGGGCAGGGGTCCAGCCTGAGTCCTTTCTGGGAACTATAGAGCCAACAAACAGGTGGGGTGCTACTGTGTGATTCAGCAAGTGGACAAGAGGAGGCTAAAAGTGAAAGAGAGATTCCTTCCAGGAAAAGGCCAAAGTGATCTTTAAGTAACCTCGTTCAAATGACAGACTGGACACACCATGACTGTGGTATGTTCACATGCCTAAGCCTGATATGCTGCTGGCCCATGAGTCTCAATGTAAGCTGACTGTATTCAGTATTATCTTCCATATTCCAGAAATCAATACACGTTTACTGAAAAAAATGGTATTTTCATACTATTCTACAACCTGTGTTAAAAACAACAGGAATCAACTCTTTGAAGATAACTTATATCTGAATTTTAGTAACTACTCTACCACTATTATGCTTAAACATGAACAGTAGAATGTCAATACTATTTGATCATATTAACGTGGTTTGTTTCTCTCTCTCTCTCTCTCTCTCTCTCTCTCTCTCTCTCTCTCTCTCTCCCTCCCTCCCTCCCTCCCTCTCTTTCAATTTTGGTGAAATTATTTCAGACCTTTGAGAAAGGTAAGAAATTTTTTCATTCATTATAGTTATATATAAGAAAGCTGCTTTGACTCTGAATTATGAATAAATTAAAATACCTAAGGGTAAGATTGTTTAGGCAAATTCATGAATACTACCTGCTTGTGAAAGAACAGTTACAAGATGAAAAGATTGTAGCATACACTATAATAAGTAATTTCTGATTTCCTGGTGCTGTAGCCAATTGGAGATTTTGTTGGTTTGTTTGTTTTCGATTTTTGAGACAGTGTTTCTCTAGTATGTAGCCCTGGCTGTACTGGGATTCAGTATGTAAACCAGGCTAGCCTTGAACACACAGATATCTGCATGCCTCTGCCTCCTAAGTGCTGAGATTCAAGGCGTTCGCCACCACATCAAGTGGAGATTCTTAATACAAGAAGAAAATTTCTGTTAACCAGAAACAGAGCACATTTTAATGTTTTTTTAAAAAGGTAAATTCTGTGTATCTTCTAAAACATGAAGTTGTTTATATAGCAACTTAGACGCCATTCATTTTCCCTTTAGATACTGCATTTTTCTCACCTCAAATGTCACTTGAAGGCAGACAGTCTTTATTTTTGTGTGTGTGTTGTGAATACTGCATAGATATGTTTTTGAAAAGCTGAAGAGACCAATAAATTTATTGGTTTCAACTTCCCACATTTTATTGATTTACTTACAGCTGACGCACAGTGGTGCTGGAGATGAAACCTCAGGCCTGGGACATCCCAGGGAAACATCTACAGCTCAACCACATGCTGAAATGTGAGTTTCAACCTCCAGGAAATTCAAAGTGGAAGTTCAAGGAACTATCTCAATATGTGGAACTTGTTAGAGCTACACCGTTGGTTACTTCTCTTTATTTTACATCATTTGATAGACACTGTCATTTACAATGGTAGTGACCGTGTGAGAGGACATTTACAGAATAGCAATAGCAATGTCCACGCTACCTCTAATGTTTCAGATTTTAATGACGATGACAGCCAGTGGGCTGCTGTACTCTTTCTACTTCACCTGATTATTGTGTCAGCTGCTCAGTTCTAAGCAGCCTATGTGGCATTTTCCACAAGTTGTTTTATAATGACATTAATTCCAATAAGGTCTCATATATTTGCCTTCTTATTATTTTTTTTCTAGGTCTATAGAAAGATTACTTACCTAACTGGAACTTTTTTAAACAAGAAATACCAGAAATTCAGTCTAAAAAAAAATCAGCCCAATTTGAAAGGAAAACTCCAAAATTACTGCAATGTATTTAAGTGACCCCCCCCCCCCATAAGAAGCAAAGGAAAACATCGTGAAAACCAAAGCTCATACTCCCCCAGAAAGATAACTTAGATCAAGATGGATACTGGACTCTGACCATCCCCACAAGAGTATGGAAGGAAGTGTAAAATATTGCCAAGGTGGAATTGGGGAATGTTGGCTGGAGGTGACAGGCCATCACCCTTTTACTCAAATCATTTGTTGAGCAGAAGCCTCATAGAAAATTAATAGTATAATATAGTTCGCATCAAAGGTTGGCACCACCATCTTCTCTCTCATAATCCTGAAGTTAAAGTAAAATCATAGAGCCCGGAAGCTTAACAAAGATGTCTAGATAACACTAAACCACAGATTGATGGAAGTATAAAAATGGTTTCATTTTACTGATAGAATTTCTATTGTAGCCAGGTGGTGGGGGCACATGCCTTTAATCCCAGCACTTGAGAGGCAGAGGCAGTTGGATCTCTGAGTTCAAGGCCAGCCTGGTCTACAGAGTGAGTTCCAGGACAGTCAGGGCTACACAGAGAAACCCTGTCTCAAAAACCCAAAAAGGAACTTCTTTTGTAATTGGAGAATTCCAGTAGGCCCCTTAGCTGCGCCCAGGGATCTTTTCTCGCCACCAAGAAAATGATGTAAGTTCTTCTGCCCATTATAAAAAAGGATCAAAAAGGAATACCTACCCACAAACCAAGTGGAGGGAGTGTGTTCCCTACCCTTCCCTCTCTTGGCCTACGGATGCCATTTAGGGAAGATTTAAACGTAACGAAGGTTATATTGTTCAGGACCTCTGTGGAACAGTTTTTGTGGTAGAAGTTCACAATGTAATTCTTCTAACCCTTGCATAATGATGAGATAAGATGGTCCTATCAACAACACCCTTCAATTCTAAAGCTGGAGAAGGGTAGAGAGGTGAAATGTACTGGTCCAGATGAGCCTGAGTCTGACCGTGGGTTCCATTATTCCACTTTCAACCTCTCTGGCCTCCAGATTCCTCTCTGTAGAATGGGAGCAAGAAGACCTACTATGCTGACTTGTGAGAAGTAAATGGTACTTTGTGTGTAAAGTAACTAGAATGGATCCTGACACACAGTGTACATGCAAAAAAAAAAAAAATCGAGCACTTGCGTTCAGCTTTTGTTGTCGCTATTTTTATTAAGCATACAAATGTAATTTAGAAGTTTGCCTTTCCCCATTCAAAATCTAAGCAACAATAAGGCAAAGAGAGTGGAACTGCTCATCAAAGTCTATATTATATTAAAAATGCTTCTTCCTTCCCTTTAAAAAAAAACTTTTAATGATTTATTTTTATTATCTGTGCCTTCGTATTTGGCCTGCATGTATGTGTATCTGTGTGAGAGTATTAGATCTCCTGGAACTAGAGCTACAGACAGTTGTGAGCTGCCATGTGGGTGCTGGGAATTGAACCTGGGTCTTCTGAAAGAGCAGCCAGTCCTCTTAACTGCTGAGCCATCTCTCCGGCCCCCAATTCTTCCTTCTTAAAGATGAGACAGTCTTTATTTTTTACATCTCATTGATTTTT